GAAGGTGCCGCCCCAAAGTCCGGCGTACTCTTTTCCGGCCACGGGTTCTTGATGCGGGAGCTTGTAAAGGGCGAAGCGGTTGTCGTGCATATTGGGCCAAGCCCTATACGTGGTCAGCCCCATGTTCGCAGCTCGCAACGTCAATCCCACGGTCTCTCCGGCCATGAGGAAGTCCGTCAGAGGCACGTGCTTGCCGTCGCCGGTGCCCGTAGAAGACCCATTTCTCGAAAGAGAACCGACACTCCCGCATGATTTTCTTCACAGCCGAGAAGAAGCTCCTCTTCCTGCCGTTGCCGCCAGCCCTGGTAGCAGCGGCGTCTCCGTTCGAGTGACGGCCTGCCTGCGTGAGAACCGACCATCTGATCCCGACGACCGCCAATCAATTTTCTCCCGCCCCCGCTGAGCTTATGCATCTGAATCAGGACGCAACCTCCGGTCAGCCACCATCATTTCCCCTCCTCCGAGCTGTTGGCAAACAGAGAACGCCCTCAAGTCCGTCGGAACCCGCTGCCGGACCCTGCAGAAACAAGATCGAGAAGCTCCTCCGATCCCGAAGGCCAGCTTGCTGAACTGAGCCTTCGGCTCATCGCCGGCGGCTGACGCCGGCGACATCAACGCGGGGCGGCGGCGGCGGAGCTCCTGGCGTGCCGCGGCCGAGGGGGGAGCGAGAGGAGAGAGGAGGGGGGGTAGGCTTCGATTTCGACTCGAGGAGGAGGACGTGCAGCCGGGTGACGGAGGCGACGGAGCCGGGGGTGAGGAGTCCTCCCCCGATCGCGCGGCCGTGGAGGAAGAAGCAGAGGCGGAGGCGTCGGCCGGAGGGGTGTACTCGAAGACGGGGGCCCACAGGAGGCTGGGGCTGAGCTCCTGGGGGATGACCCCGGAGGCGAGGAGGGAGAGGTGGGCCCCCAGGAGACGAAGACCAGGTGCCGAGCTCGGGGTTCTGGTGGACCCAGAGGCCGAGGAGGGGGCGCGGCGGAGAGGAAGCGGCAGAGGTGGCGTAGAGGGGAGGGATCGCGCCAGGAGGAAGAGGAGGCGTCCGAGGGTACGAGCCGGAGGCACTGCGCCAGCCACGCCTTGTCGGCGGCGGCGACGGCGGAGCGGAGGCGGCGGCAGGTGAGGGAGAGGGAGCCGAGTCGCCGGGGCCAGGTGGACGAGATGACGAAGAGGACGTCGTCGGGTAGGGAGACCAGGAGGTGGACCCGCAGCGGACGCCGCGGAGGCCATTGGCCTTTATCTCTCTCCTTTTTTTTTTTTTTTGCCTCTCTCTTTTTCTTTTCTGCTTCCCTTTTTTTTTCACCCCCTTGGGCTGGGGAACGGAGGAGATCTGGCGGAAACAGGGGAGGTAACGTGCGGGTGGGTTGGGGGGGAGGGAATTTGCTGGTGTTGGACTGTTGGTGCCTGGTGGTGGTATCCAATAAGTACGTAAAATATTAGGCTGTTATGTTTTATTAAAAAAAAAGAAAATAAAAGGTTTGGATCTTGACGGATGTGTTTTGATTGATTGCGGGCGTGTGCGGCCAATGAGATGTGAACTATGTTAAGAGTGGTGGGGGCCTTGGTTTGCTGAGGGGGGAAGAGAAAGGAAGATATTTCTGTGCAACTTTGGTCCGTCGAAAGAGCATGCAACTATTTAATAGGTGACATAATATTAGAAAAACGGAAATTACACTAGACCCCATCAACTTTCATCATTTTCCAGTAGATTTTTATAAACTTCCAAAACCACACTGAACGCCCAGTTGCTTTTCCTTTTTTGCAGAGGACCTTCAATAAGTTTCTTCATTTTGTTGCAAGTAACGCCAACCAGGGAACAACACAAAAACGCATTTTGAAAGTTATTGAGGGTTTTAGTACGATTGTAAGAGTTTATATGGATTTTACTGCAGAATATTGAAAGCTAACGGTGGTTTAGCATAATCTACCCCATATACAGTAGGTGTTTCCCGTGAATGTTATGCGTCCACGGCCCTTGACAAACTCAAGATGAGATACACTGATACAGTGGGAGGTGCATTCTAATTTAACAATTTGACGTCGGGGCACGAAAACGTTGAATTTGGAGTGCGAGCTCTTTTCATTTTGGATTTGTCAGACTGTACCACATTCCGTGAGTTTTTTTTTAGAGAGTAAGAAGTTGTGAGAATATTCTTGAGCTTAATTTTATAGAGGGAGAAATTTTTAAAACAGCCCATTTTTCAATTTTATTGTGCAAAATCGACCGTCTCAGAAATTAATTAGCAAAAACAACCGAAAAGGGTCGATTTTGCAATTACGGAACTGCACGGGACTAGTAGTCCCGTGCAGTCCGCCTACCCCACTAACTCCGCTTTCTTTTCGTTCGTTTCGTTCCTTCTTTCCTTCTGCGATCTCGTGACCACTCTCCCCCGAAGAAAAAAAAACCTGCTGGCCTCGTCGACCCCCGCCGCCGATCACCGCCATTTTCCGTCGCCGCCGACCCCGACGCTCTCGTGACTGAGCCTTCAACCCCCCCAAACCCTAGCCTTCAACTTCGACTTCGACCCCCTGCCATTTGCAGTCGCCGCCTAACCCTAGCCCTCCGACCTCGTCGCGCATCCGACACCATCGACGCCCACCGAACCCCCATTCTCAGGTGTGTTTTTCTTTTTAATTTTGCTGTTAATTTGGGAGTTAGGGTTTAGTTTAGCAATTATTTACATATGAGAGGGTTTAACAATTATTTTTGAGAGGGATATTCATCAAATTTGCTGTTAATTTTGCTGTTAATTTTGCTAGAATTGGGTAGGATTAGTTTTTATTTTGTGCAATAGGATGAATAATGTGGTTTGGGGGTTAGGGTTTAGCAATTATTTACAAATGATGAATAATAATTAAGGGTGTAGCCATTATTTGAGATTGATTAAGGTAATAAATTTGATGTTGATTTATTCAGATATTAATAGATTATTTGCATATGATGGACTGTGTATTTTCAGTTTCGATGACGAACTCCATATCCATTATTTGTTTCTTTAATGGGAGCCTCGGCGTCGGAGTGAATAATTTGCCGGTGTATGATGGAGGTTCTCGGAAAATGTTCATGCTATCTAAGTCGTGTAATTTTGATGGAATGACTAGGGAAATACACAGAGTTACTAAAATTAAGAAAGAAGAATATACAATTAAGGTGTTCTTCAACTGTCCTATAAATGAGAGTAGAACTATTGCCGTGGAGATTACCGAAGATGAGGAATTGAATGACATGAAACAATTAGTCGAGAAGCAAGCGTCAATTGAGTTGTTTATTGAGAAGTATCCGATTCAGGAATTTGCCCAAGTTTCACGACCTCAAGGAGAGTTTTCTCGGATGCTTGACTTAGACAACGAGTCGATTGGTTTTATGACATCTCCAAGTCAAGAGCCATGGTCTCAACCACAACGTTTAAGTGAGTATTCTATCGGTGGGACGTCAACTAATATATTTAACGACGCTTCAGGTCATGTTACGGGTTACCCACCAGTCGGAGCAATTATAGAAGATGAAGCAGATGATGATTCAGATCATTTTGAAGAAGATGGCGTGCAAATTGATAGCATGCATGTGGCAGCTGGAATAGATGATGACGCCCGTTGGATGGAGCAATTTAACGTTAACAATGATTATGTGGAAGCTGAAGATCCGTTGCCCGACGAGTTTCATAATGAGGATTGGATAAATACTTCTCAAGCTGGATTTGTTGATGTTGGGCCAAATTTACAACGACCTGAGGACTTCACTTTTAAAAAAGGGGATCTATTCGAGAACAAGGAGGCACTGATTTTTGCAATCCGAGAATGGTCCATCAAGAATCGGGTCAAATTAAAGCCGGTAAAAACTAATGCAACAAACTACAATGTGAAATGCTTCTTTAACGATAAGAATGAAGTAGAGAATGCAAATGAGCAAGATGAGAGAAATAAAAAATGTCCTTGGTTGCTAAATGCCGCTGTGAGAAAATCATCAAATGGGCAATTTGTAATATGTAGATATTGCGGACTTCATACATGTTGCAACCCGTCGGTGGATGTCGATGATTATTCTGCATCTTCTTCTTATATATGTAAGCTAATTATGCCTGAAGTTAGAGCTGAACTTGATCTGAATGCAAGTCAGATATTTCAGAGGGTATATGACATGCGGGGGATTAAGATATCTAAATATAAGGCATATGATGCAAGGAGGAAAGCGTTGTCTAAAATTTTTGGAGATTGGAAAAAATCATATGAATTACTTCCACAGTATCTTGAAGCTATCAAACGAAATAATCCGGGTACTGAATACGAAATATTATCCGAAGAGATTGCACCGGGTATGGAGAGGTTCACTCGCGTGTTTTGGGCATTTGGTCCTGCTATTAAGGGCTTCACTTTTTGTCGTCCGCTATTGAGCATTGATGGTACACATTTATATGGAAAGTACAAAGGCGTGCTTCTTGTAGCGACCGGTGTAGATGCAAATGGCGGGTTATTTCCTCTAGCATTTGCAGTCGTGGAGGTGGAGGATACGTCTAGTTGGAAGTGGTTTTTTGAACTTATATACAAGTGGATTCCAAGTGTCCGTGCGCCAAGAATAATTACCTTTATTTCGGATAGGATGAAAGGAATTATAAGGGCGTTACATGAGGGTTTTAGTGCACCACATCACCATCGATATTGTTTAAGGCATATAAGAGATAATTTCAAGAAAAAACACGGTGAGATTAATTTGCAAAATCTTTTGTGGCAAGCCGGGTGTGCGACCGACACATTAGTGTATGAACATTGCAGGGAGAAAATCAAGTCTTTGTCATTAGATGCACATAATTGGATTGAAAATAACTTGAAGCCTCAATTCGAGCATCGGTGGGCATTATGTAAGGATGAGGGTGTGCGGTTTTGCATGATGACGACTAATTGCTCCGAGAGCTTTAACGGCGTTCTTAAAGGAGCACGAGCTATGCCAATACAATCTTTGGTTGCGAGAACATTCTATAGACTAAACGCATACTTCAACAAAAGGCGTGGTGATGGCATAGACTGGACAACACGTTACACACCAAAAAATGAGTCCATTTTGCATAGAAGAATTGAGGCAGCAAGATCATGTCAAATTACTGTATTCAACGACAACGAATGGCAGGTACAAGATTGTGACGGTATCTACACCGTTAAACTATTTGATGTTGATTGCACTTGCACATGTAACATACCACAACTCCAAAAAATACCCTGTGCACATGTGCTTGCGGCTTCTTCTAATCAGCCGGGAGGTGCTAGAATTCCCAGAAATCGGTATTGCTCGCCTTGGTATTCAACAGCTCACTATCAAAAGACATATAGTGAGAGTTTTCATCCACCTGATGATAGTCGGTATTGGCCTGAATATAATGGACCACATATAGTTCCACCTCAGTACCGGAGACAAGCAGGTCGACCACGATCTGTGCGAATTAGGGGAACCATGGATCAAGGGCGAGAAGGAGTGGTCAAGCACAAAAAATGTAGTCTTTGCAAACAACCGGGACATACTCGACCTCGTTGTCCATCTAGACACAATAGATAGCAACTAATTGGTAATTTATATCATTTTTTTATTTTTATATACTTTAATAAAGAAACTGAATTACTATATGATTGATTATTAACATGTGTATAATTATATGTGCAGGTTTGTACACCATGGATCCTGGGCCGGTTAGTGATGAGGTCTTATATGACCAGGCTCAGCATCGTTCACATATTATATCCTGTACAGAGGTAATTCAGTTACTTTATAATTGTAATATTTGCATTTACATAATATTGCATTCTTATACTATCATTGTCTATACAGAGAGGTCCGAGTATCGTTATGGTTGATCAGTGTTGTAAAAAGCGGCAAAAAGCGGGGCTATCGCGGCGCAAATCGCGGAAGCGGGG